TTATAACAGAACTAAATGAAACCGAAAATGACACTCAGAACATTCAACTCGAGACAGGAATTTTACTCTCAGAAAATTTAAACAAAAATAATAATGATAAAATTGCTAATACCTCTAATTCACAGATAATAATACCACCTAATCTTTTACAGATAATAAATAATTTAGCAGGAGATTATGACTATGATGAAATTTGTCAAGAGAAAAATTCAGGTACAGATTTTCATGAAGTTTTGACAGATGAAACAAGAGGAAATAATTCTAATCCAGAAGGAGATCAAGACAGCCTGAGCTACGATGAAGACTCGAACGAAGAAGATGAAGAAGATAACTTTGAAGAAGAAGATGATGACAGTGACAAAGACATTGACGAAACATATAACGAACTTGAATCAGACGATCTAATTAACGAAACAGAAAAACAGATGGAAACACGCGGACAGAAATCTAGTATCATAAACAGTCGCGATCAAATTTTTATGAGAAAAGAAAATTATTTATACCTTTTAACAAAGGACGGGAAACCTTGTGATGAGGGATCTAAACAACTTAAAAAACGAAACTTAATACCTAAAATTAAAGAAAATCAAGTAGGAAACTTTAAAGTAATTAAAAGGGGGAATAAATATCATCTAATTTTTATTTGCAAACAAAATATTCAAGAAAGAATAACCTCGAAAATTTTACTAGAATTTGGAACTAAATTACGTAAAATAATAAAGGAAAATTCAATTAAAGTATTAAATGTTGCTAAATCAAAGGAAATAGATAATATCTCTTGGGAAAAAATTTTTAAACAAATTCAACAATCAATACTTGGAACATCAACCAAATTAATAATATGTCATGGATTGGTAAAAATCCCAGAAATCGAAAATCAGAAAGACATAATTGAAGAAGCTCATTCTTCCAAAATTGGAGGTCATAAAGGAATAACTAAAACTTATGTTGCGTAGCATCCCGTGCGTCGTGCACGACATATACATATATACGCATATATCATGTCGGGACCACACTCGGACTCTGTTCGACATAAAGGGATGCGGCTGGCGGCGTCGGCTCCGTGCAAAGGCGAGCGGCGAGTCGGCGTCGCGCGGGCCTTTGTTTGCGTGGTCGCGGCGTTTTTGATCTCGCTTCCGCGTTTCCCCCCGGGTCCCCCTTTTTTGGGTCCGCGGTTCCTGTGATCCAGGACAGCCAATGGGCGTGCGATTCCGGAGACGGGGATTCTGGTGGGGATCGGGCGGGATATAGGCACGATGCTCGCGGGCATCTTCACCAGTTAGCAAGGGTGATCTTAGTAAGTCAGTCGTCGATATCGAAAACGTCCGTGCCGAAGTAGAGTGTGATCGCGACTCAGAGTTACGGCTCCCAGGCGTGGTCGCGATCAGAGTGTCCGGTTCCGGTGTGACAATAATCGTACGCGCAGAGAACATTGTCATTGTTTCAATCGCGGCTCAGGGCACTAGCCTCAAGGCGTTGCCGCGGTACTTCGTGCGGTTCCTCATGCGACCTATTTGACTATAATCGAAGTGTAAAGGGAAGAATAAACTCGAAACAAAAAAACACAAGGTTTTTTTGTCATCAAGCGAAACCACGGTGCGAGCACGAAGGTGCCCGTATTCGACACAGAACATTTTGGTGCCTCCTGTGAGGTAGTGCTTCGATCCGCGCAAGAAACGCGCTACATCCTGCAGACTGCCTCACACGTACGAAGAGCGGATCATCCGAGTTGACGGATAGAAAGACGAGTTCAGCCGCATTCAGCGAGCCGGTAAGAGTAAGTCGTTCAGTCCAACAATCCCATTCCTACGCATATCAAAATGTCTGATAAAATCAAATTCCTCGTACAAAAAAGAACGTCGTTGAAGTCACAAATAACGAATCTGGCTAATCTCGTCGGAGATGGGAAAATAGACAACGCGGCTTTGAAACTACGAAGCGCTCGCTTAACGCACTTGTATCACGCGTTCGAAGAGCATCATGATGAATTAGCTATGTTAGATCCAAACGAGAATCATCAAGTCGAATTCGAGACCATCCAGGAACGTTTCTATTGCCTCGCGGGAAAGATCGAGAACATTTTAAATCCGGGTGATGCGTCCGAATCAAGTGCCAGCGTGTCGAACGAAGAGGCGCGACGCGATAACGTCGTACCGCCTATCGGAAAACGGCGAATTAAGTTGCCAGAAGCGCCGTTGCCGACCTTCGACGGTAGGTTCGAAGACTGGCTGTCGTTTAAGAACGCATTTTACAACATGATAGGTTCGCGAACGGATTTAGCCGAGTTAGATAAGTTGCAATACCTCAAATCTGCCTTAACCGGCGAAGCCGCGAATAAAATAAAAATTTTCGAAGTCGACGGAATAAATTATTCCAAGGCTTGGGACTTGTTAGAACGAGCGTACGAAGTTCGAAGGATTTTGATATCGCGACACCTTTCTTTGATATTACATTTACCTGCGTTAGACAAGGAAAACACGAGCGGTTTGACTAGACTCGCGGACGATGCGCAGCAGCACGTTGCATCGTTGAGTTCTTTAGGAGTTTCGATCGGGCCTGAAATGATCGTGCATTTAATAGAAGGTAAGCTGCCGAAAATAACCGTAGAGAAATGGGAAGCTACGCTCGAAAGAGACGAGTTTCCGAAGCCCGATCAAATATATGAATTTATATATAAAACAGCGGTATGCGCGTCGAAACGTGAAAAGGTGAGGGCGACTGATACGGAAAGAATCAAAGGGGAACCCCCGAGTAAGAAGAAACGGGGTTGTTCGGGTTAGTGTCGCTTCATCCGCCTGGACAAAGCCCTATCCGAATTTAGAATTTATCGGGACGCCTCAAGCGTCCGGTACGCGCATAAGTCTCATAATTATCAAAGCCACGAGCCCGTAGATAAGGAAGTGGGATGCAGTCTGGGAAGGGATCATACAATCACGACACAATATTCTCGCGTTACACACCCACTTGCTTAGGCATAAAAACCCTTCGAGTTAAGGGAAAAGCCCGAGCAAGCGTACCTTTTATTAACTTGACACCTGACCGCAATATCAGCGGCGCAGGCAAGCACCCGTCACGTACAAGTCCATTCACATCCTATTCGCAGTCGTCTTTACATTAAGTGCCGGCGCAACACACGGTAACGATCTCTCGGCGCGACCGTAATGGCTACGCTAGCCCGTAATGGCGGTGAGCCGTTGGTGGCTAACACCTCCCCTCCCGTACAGGCACGATCTCGCATCGCCCCGCGCGAGCCGCTGCTACGCACACGGAAATGGCCACGGTGGCCCGAAATGGCGGCGCGTCGTCACTGGCGAATACCGCCCCCCTCTCCCGTCGGGAACATCCGTCGTCCCGCTATCCCCGCGGAAGGTTCGCCGGGCCGCGGTGCTACCGCGGCCGGATCGGTGAGAGAGGACGGTGCTTCCCACCTCGGGACTGCGTCCCCGCCCGGGAACACGGCTCGCAACCACCGGACCGGCGAGCCGGCCGGATCGGTCGCGCCCACGACCCCCAGATCGGCGAAGAGCCGGGTCGGCGCCCTCACCTCCCCTCCCGCGGGCTCCCTCAGTTACCTCTATCCGCGGTGCGCACGCGAGGTACAGCGGCGGAAGGCCCGAACGGCCGCCACCGCCCGCACCCCTCCCCTCGTGCGGCTCACCATTACCTCTATCCTTCCCGATTCCGCTCGTAACCGCCAGACCGGCGAACCAGCCGGATCAGCCGCATGTGCGACCGCCAGGCCGGCGAACCGGCCGGATCGGCCTCCTCGTACGATGTCGAAGGTCCTCGCTTTCTTCCGGTGGCCGGATCCTTCCTGTCCCCGTTCCACCGTCGTTGTGTAATGGACGATGGTCGCTCGGCCTCCCGCGCTCGTAAGCTGGATAGCGCAGGATCTGCGGGCACCCTCCACCGTCCTCTCGACCGCCCTCTCGCAACGGTCGGCTAGCTGTCGCTGGGTCCACGGGGACCACGGGCCTTTCCGTTGATCTCCGAAAGGCTCTCTCCTCCTTCCCGAATCGCACTGTAGTCCGCACTAAATCCTACATCGACCGTTGTCCTTCACGGTCGCACTGCACACACTCACTGTCGCTAGCCGGAAGAAACTGCAGAAGCGGCGACTCCCACGCCGCGCTCGCTTCCGTCCGCACGCGCTCGCACGCCGCGCACGCGCAGCCGGCGCCGCCGAGCACCTACGCCATGCCCGCGGCAACGCCGCTCCGCCGGTAACCCGGCTACTACAAATCGTGGTTCATTCGCCGCGAACAGGGGTTATTCGTCGAATCAAGCATTAGTCCTAAACGCGACGCGTAATTGTATAGCGTGTAAAGCGAAACGACATCCCTTATATTTATGCGATAAATTTAAGCAGCTTTCAGTCCCCAAGCGTATCGAAACGGTGAGAAATGCAAGGCTATGCTATAATTGCTTGCGGTCTCATCGCGATAGCCCTTGCAAATTTTCCAACTGCACAATTTGCCAGAAAAGGCACAATACTCTGTTACATTTGGATCAACATCAAAATGTAAAGCAATCGGTCGCCTCCGAAGCCGAAACTAAGCAGACCGCATGACTATCCAAAGCGAGCGACGGCGGAGGGACGAGTCGTGCAATGATCTTGCACGCGGCTCCTCCCCAACTACTGGCGAGCGCGTTAGTTCATATCCGTGATCGTAAACATAATTTGGTGGAGTGCCGAGCTTTACTGGATACTTGTTCCACAGCAAATTTCATCTCAGAGTCTATTCTAAAACAATTAGACGCGCACATACTCGAACATTCGTCACCGGTCGGCACGATCAATGACACAAGTACGGAATCCAGGGGTATGGTGCGAATCACTATACAGTCCATACATGATAATTTCCGCAGAGATCTTACGTGTTTGGTGATACCGACCATAGCTGATCTGATTCCTTCCGAGATGTTTCCCAGAGATACGATTAAAATACCGTCAAATATTAGATTGGCGGATCCGAAATTCCATCTGCCACGAGCGGTAGATTTATTGATCGGTTCGGGACTTACCTTATCTTTGTTCTCAATCGGGCAGATCAACTTATCCCATGAGGAGCATGATTTATACTTGCAAAAAACCCGACTCGGATGGGTGGTGGTCGGTGGCGCGTCGTCACAGGTTCCATCCAAACCGGCGTGTTATTTGACGAGGCTCGAAAGTCAGTTGAGTAAATTCTGGTCAGTCGAGGAAGTTAGAGAAAATAGAGTAAGTTCGGCCGAGCACATCGAGTGCGAGGCGCACTTCGAAAGAACGGTGTTTCGCGATAACAGTGGACGTTACAAGGTTCGTTTGCCATTTCGCGAATCGAACGCGCGTTTAGGCGAATCGCGCTCCGTCGCGTTCAAGCGTCTATTAGCTTTGGAACGTAAACTCAAGTCGAATGTTACGTTGGGGCTCGAATACGCCCGAGTGATCGAGGAATATTTGACCCTAAATCACATGTCGTCGGTGGAACCTCCTGAGGACGATGGTTATTATATGCCGCACCACGCGGTGATCAAGGAATCGAGCAACACAACGAAGGTACGAGTGGTGTTCGATGCTTCGGCTAAAACAAATAACGGAATGTCTCTAAATGACGCGTTAATGATAGGGCCTACGATTCAAGATACATTGTTCTCCCATTTGATTCGTTTCCGCACATACAACTACGTCATAACCGCGGACATTGAAAAGATGTATCGTCAAGTGTTGCTGCACGAAGATGACCGTCGATATCAGCGGTTCCTTTGGCGCGTGGGAAATGAAGTTAAAACGTTTCAGCTTAATACGCTCACATTCGGCGTGGCGCCCTCGTCCTTCCTTGCGATTCGGGTTCTCCACAAACTTGCTGAGGACGAACGGTGCGTCTATCCCAGAGCGGCTCAGGTCATCACCAAACATTTGTACATGGACGATTTACTAACTGGTGCGGATACGATCGCCGACGCGCGCGCGATCAGAGACGAAACAATCGCCTTATTAGAACGGGGTGGATTTTCCATAAGACAGTGGGCGTCCAACGATACGCGTGTCATTGATGATTTATCCTCCAACGCGTTACACGCCAACTTCGTGTTTAACGTGGATCCCGCCGTAAAAACGTTGGGGATAACGTGGAATACCCGAGATGATAAAATGTACTATTCGGTTCGTCCGATTAAAGTCACCCAGAAATTGACGAAACGAAAGATATTGTCGGAAATCGCGAAGATCTTTGATCCGATAGGTTTGCTAGGTCCGATTATTTTGCATGCAAAGCGCCTGATGCAAGACATATGGCGTTCCGGTTTACATTGGGACGAATCCGTCCCGCAGGCCATATACACGGAATGGATGGAGTTCGTTCGACAATTAGAGTCCGTAAATCAATTTACATTCGAACGTAAGTTGCTAGCAAGCAATTGTCGCGACATTCAGTTTCACGGGTTTTGCGATGCCAGTAGTGTCGGTTACGGTGCGTGTCTTTACATTCGCTCAAGCGAGGGGCATGAGAATACCGTGGTCAGGTTAGTGTGCGCCAAATCCAGGGTTGCGCCGTTGAAACCTGTAACCATCCCGCGTTTGGAACTCTGCGGCGCGCTGTTGTTGACGCAATTATATCGCGAAATGAGCGCGGCATTGAACTTCGCGCCCAATAAGGTAATTTTTTGGTGCGATTCGACGATCGTTTTGCACTGGATAAAAACGCCGCCTCATCTTCTTAAAACGTTTGTAGCCAACCGTGTCGTGGAGATTAGGGATAACGCGGAATCTAATGAATGGCGACACGTTCGAACGAACGACAATCCGGCGGACGCATTGTCAAGGGGTCAATTGCCTCATGCGTTTGTGCAAAACGAAATGTGGCTGACCGGACCTCCGTGGTTGATTAAAGGCGAAAGCGAATGGCCAGATGAAATCATCCCAGCAGTCGAAATAACGGAACTAAAGAAAAACGTTTGTTTGATAACCACAACGTACGATGTCGAGATTCTCAATAGGTATTCGTCCTATTCTAAATTACTTAGGGTCGTCGCGTATTGCCTTCGTTTCCGGCGCATCACCATAGGCGCGAAAGCATTGTCGGCAGGCGAAATTATTAATGCCGAATGACGAATCTTAAAAATCCTTCAAGGTTCTCAATTTGTTAATGAACTCAAAGAGCTCAGACTCAAGGGTTCGATAAGCAAGGGCAAAGTCGTAAACCCGTTCCTGGATGATGATGGACTGATTCGTGTAGGGGGTCGTCTCCAAAGATCGAATTTAACCTTTAATCAGAAACACCCGATTCTGCTTCCGAGTCGGCACCGTTTAACGGATAATATTATTCGCGAGGTCCACGAAGCGCATCATCATACGGGCATCCAGACTACTTTGTCCATCATACGACAAAGATTCTGGTTGCTCGACGGACGGAATCAGGTGCGGAAGATCGTGCGTACCTGCGCGCGTTGCTCGCGTTTTAGCGCCAACGCGATAGAATACAAGATGGGGAATCTCCCGTCGGCTCGCGTACGCGAAGCGATGCCATTCGCCAACACCGGTGCCGATTTTTGCGGACCCTTTTATGTAAAAGAGAAGAAGTACCGCAACAGAGGTCGCGTAAAGGTCTACGTGTGCGTATTCGTGTGTATGGCTATAAAGGCAATACATCTCGAGATAGTCAGTGACCTAACGACTGACGGGTTTCTCGCGGCGCTACGACGGTTTATCGCTAGACGCGGTCTACCTGAGCGAGTTTATTCCGACAATGGAACCAACTTCGTGGGGGCGAACCGTCAGTTAAAGGAACTATACGTTTTGCTAAATTCTGAGGAACACAAAACTAGGGTAAATAGATTTGCGTGTGAACACCGGATCACATGGCATTTTATACCACCAGCCGCGCCGCACTTTGGTGGTTTGTGGGAGTCTTCAGTAAAACTCTTTAAGCATCACTTCAAACGCGTGGTCGGGGAATCCCTGTTCACGTTTGAGGAATTGAATACGTTCGTAATTGAAGTTGAGGGCATTCTGAATTCCCGACCAATCACCTGCCTATCCTCTGATCCGAACGACTTGCTCGCTTTAACTCCTGCCCATTATTTAATTGGCAAACCATTAACGACTCTCCCGGAGGGAGACTTATCCGATGTTTCAGCCAATCGCTTATCTACTTGGCAACATATTACAAAGGTTCGGCAAGACTTTTGGGCACGTTGGAACCTCGAATATCTCAACGAGCTCCAAATGCGTCATAAATGGGCCAAGGATGGACCGAGGCTCGACGTCGGGACCATTGTGTTGGTGAAAGACAAAAACTTGCCATGTGGACGTTGGACAATGGGCAGAATTTTGGAATTACATCCAGGGAAGGACGGAACCACGCGAGCGGTCACCATTAAAACAGCGACTGGAGAAATGAAGAGATCCGCTAATATTCTATGTCCTCTGCCAATCGAGCAATAGTTCGAGCGTAATTCCATAATTCATGTATTCTGCGTTGCGATACGCCTATGCGAGATAACATCACTGAATGCGCAATTAGTCGACGAATCTATGCGAGGAGTACTCCGTTATAATTCTATACGTCATATTTTATGCGAGCATGATCTAAGATAGTTGATCGTGATCCCTCTCAACGGGGGGAGGATGTTGCGTAGCATCCCGTGCGTCGTGCACGACATATACATATATACGCATATATATCATGTCGGGACCACACTCGGACTCTGCTCGACATAAAGGGATGCGGCTGGCGGCGTCGGCTCCGTGCAAAGGCGAGCGGCGAGTCGGCGTCGCGCGGGCCTTTGTTTGCGTGGTCGCGGCGTTTTTGATCTCGCTTCCGCGTTTCCCCCCGGGTCCCCCTTTTTTGGGTCCGCGGTTCCTGTGATCCAGGACAGCCAATGGGCGTGCGATTCCGGAGACGGGGATTCTGGTGGGGATCGGGCGGGATATAGGCACGATGCTCGCGGGCATCTTCACCAGTTAGCAAGGGTGATCTTAGTAAGTCAGTCGTCGATATCGAAAACGTCCGTACCGAAGTAGAGTGTGATCGCGACTCAGAGTTACGGCTCCCAGGCGTGGTCGCGATCAGAGTGTCCGGTTCCGGTGTGACAATAATCGTACGCGCAGAGAACATTGTCATTGTTTCAATCGCGGCTCAGGGCACTAGCCTCAAGGCGTTGCCGCGGTACTTCGTGCGGTTCCTCATGCGACCTATTTGACTATAATCGAAGTGTAAAGGGAAGAATAAACTCGAAACAAAAAAAACACAAGGTTTTTTTGTCATCAAGCGAAACCACGGTGCGAGCACGAAGGTGCCCGTATTCGACACAGAACAACTTATAATCGAATTCGACAAAATTTTTACTGGGATAATATTAAATCTGATATCCGAAACTATATTAATCAATGTTTACAATGCCAAATTAAAAAATTAGTTAGAGTAAAAACCAATGATAATCACGGATACACC